TTTTCCGATTCTCGGTTCTCAATTTTCGATTCATCAGTCTTGATTATAAAATCGTGGTTCCTGATTCTCGATTGTCGATTGACGATTGTCGATTCTCGATTGTGGATTCCCGATTGTCAATTGTTAATTCTCAATTGCGATTATTGGTTATTGATCCTTGATTTTCAAATCTTGATTCTCAATTCTCGATTCTCGATTGTCGATTTCCGATTGTCGATTTCCGATTGTCGATTTCCGATTGTCGATTTCCGATTGTCGATTTCCGATTGTCGATTGTTGATTCTCAAGTGTCAATTCTTGATTGTCTAATCTCGATTGTCGATTGTTAATTCTCAATTGCGATTCTCGATTGCCGATTTTTGATTTTCGGTTCTTGGTTTTCAAATCTTAATTCTCAACTCTCGATTTTTGCTTTGGGATTCTCCGTTCATGATTTCCGATTCTTGATGCTCGATAGTCGATTGTAGATTCTCGATTGTCGATTGTCGATTGTCGATCTCGAGTCTCGATTGTCGAATGTTAATCCGCAATTGTGATTGTCGATTGTCGATCCTTGGTTTCCAAACCTTGATTCTCAATTCTTGATTTTTGATTTTCGATTCTCCGTTCATGATTTTCGATGCGTGATTCTTGACTCTTCATTCCTGATGTGTTATTATCGATTCTCAATTCATGATGTTCGATTCTTGGTTCTCAATTTTCGATTCGTTATAGTCTTGATTATAAAATCGTGGTTCTTGATTCTCGATTGTCGATTTTCAATTCTCAATTGTGATTGTCGATTGTCGATTCTTGATATTCTTGGTTTTCAAATCTTGTTTCTCAATTAACGATTTTCGCATTTCGCATTCTCCGTTCATGATTTTCGATTCTTGATTCTTGACTCTTGATTCCTGATATGTGATTATCGATTCTAAATGAATAATTTTTGAATCTCGGTTGTCAATTTTCGATTCGTTAGTCTTGATTATAAAATCGTGGTTCTTGATTCTTGATTCTTGAATGTCGGTTGACGATTTTTGATTGTCGATTGCTGATTCTCAATTGTCGATTGTTGATTGTCGATTCACCACACACCGAAACAATAGCTGACGGTTTGCGTGATAAAAAACTGAGAGTGTTTTTGTACTATCGGTCAAGTTTGGGCCGCAGGGTCTCGGAATTTTATGAAATTTTGTCCATATTTTGGTAGAAGCAAATACTAAAATTTCAAAAAATTTGGTGTGGTTAATTTTTCCGGAAAAAAATTTAAATTTGAAAATTTATAACTTATGGAGGAATCACAGTAGAAAGATTGTTTAGTAAAATGATAAGGAAATTATCGCAGCAATCCATAAAAAATATAATCTGGAAAATGTTTTCCCTAAAAATGTTTGCAATGGAAAAACCTGATTAATATTTTTGAATGCTGGTTCACTTGTCTTCAAAAAATGTAATTCGATTCTTACCTTTGAATTTTAAGTTTCAATACTAGTGTTTTGATTCTTGAATTCAGATTCTATTGTTTAATTTGTTATAGCGACTTTCAGCTATCGACTGGTTTGTGTCTTCCTGTAGATTCTTATCTTTTGATTCCTATCTTTTTTACTTATCTTGTCTTCGATTATTTGTGTTTGAATTAATGTTTCTATTTTTTGTCTTTTGATTCTTGATGTAATTTTACTGAATTACCTTACGCCAAAGTTGAGACCGGTGGAACCAGTCAAAAATAATAGTGAATTAATTCTAAGCCAATGATTACCACCGTTAGCTTACTCCACTTTACGACACATATTGAACTCTATCCATTCGGTTGTAAATACAATAAATTTGATGTTAATCGACATCATAAAGCATTTAAAGTTCAAACACACCTATCTACCATACACATAGTTCGATCGGTCGCTGGTGAAAATTTACTTCCACTATACGGTCCCGGGAGTTTAGTGTGGTTTCCCATGCACATTCATGGTAGGTACTAACCGACGCAGCTTCCTGATCCAGGATCAGCACAATACAAAAGCCACCACGCCACGCACCACATGCCGAGTAGTCGGGACGAGTCCCAAGTAGATTAGAATCGCACAAACATCGAATGTGTTGCAAATTCTCGGAATAGCTTGGGCCGCCGCCACCGTCGTCGTCGTCGTAGTCATCGTTCGTGCGTGCATAGGTGGAACCCATTCCACCTCACCTGCCACCTTTACCACGCCGTATTCGATTTTCCCAACGTGCCTGTTGGCTGAGTTGCCGGCACCTGTAGTCGGGGAAGTAGTCGTGGAGCCCTAATTGGACTATTTATAATCAAATCACGTATTTTATGTTGAGATATTATCGTTTGGTTTATTACAACTGAACTGCCGGTGATTGTGTGCTACGTGGTTTTAGAGGAAGCTGGGGTTTAGCTAGAAATTCCGAAATGATTCTAAAGAATAATAATGTGTAGAATGTGGGAAGGATGCGCCCGGTTGGTATGCAATGTCGATTTAAGGTGAAGTATCACTGAAAATGGCGAATCGGAAAAACTCGACCTTCTCCGATTTACATGAAACTTTGCCATTTTTTTGATAATGGGAAATTATTCACATTTTGCTAAAATTCTAAAATTTGCAAACGGCCTTTTTTTAATTTTCAAAAAAAAAAATGTAGCCAATAATGGCACTGCTGATCAAAATGACGTCTGAGACAAAGTTGTAGAGAGCAGGCGCCGGTGGTGTAGTGGTAAGCGTGACTGCTTTCTCACCCTAATGGGTCTGTTTATTTTTTCGAGAAAGCCATTATTTTTCTCAATGTTTTTGTCTCAAACGTTATTTCGATCAGAAATGCCGTTTCCGTTCCGGAAAATTTCAAGGACGCTATTTTGAAAATTTTAGCAGATCCAAATTGGCCCATAACAAACAACTACGCTAAGTTTTTTACAAATCGGAGAAGGTCGATTCAGAAATTTCATGGACTAATTATCATTCAATGAGACTTCAGCTTAAGGTGAAAATTAACGCTTTTCCGTTGGTTTTGACCCTACATCTGTTCAACTTACCTTACTTTACCAATCAGGCTAAGGCCTAGTTGTCCTCTGCTGTCCGAAGAAGTCGTCTCCACTATACTCGATCCATCAAAACAATGCAAAAATAAAAAAATAAAACTTTGCTAGTCTGTGTCAAAGCATGGCATTTTTTTGCAACGTCTCATGGAAAAGGTCCCTGTGATGCCATTGGTGGCACTCTCAAGCGAATGGCAAAGAGGGCTAGTCTTGCTCGAGATTATGGAAACACCATAACAACTCCACGAGAATTATATAACTGGGCAGTTGAACAAACAGATAAAAATATCACAAAACTACGTTTCGAGTACATATCCACTGAACAGTACATCGAAATGTCAGAAGAACTCGAAGAACTATATAACAGCACAAAGACAATATCTGGCACACAGAAATTCCACAGTTTTGTGTCTATTACTGGTGACAAAGTAGCTGCAAAAAGGTATTCTAATTCAGAAAATGAACCAAAAATATTTAACTAAGGGAATGACAAGGTCTACATGTCCAAATAGTTTTATTGTACTCTGAGAGGGTGCTGCCAATTCCAAATATGATTTGGTGAGAAATGGATCATGAGCCCTTTTCATATGAAATTTTCGATTAATCAAAGTGAACTTAAGTGCTGATTAGACAAAATTGAATCGTATGGACGGTTGGTAGTAAACATAATAACCTATCGTGAGGCAAAGTTTCATCAAAATCAAACATGGCCATTTTTTTAAATCGACTTTAAATTTAAATGAAATTTTTCCCAGTATTTTTTTTTTCGATTACTTGGACAATTTCCTAAAAGTCATCAATACAACACATTTTTGTAGGAGTTGTCATTATTCCATAATTTTTTTTGAAAAAAATCGGCAGAAAAAGTTTGGCCCTTCTCAAATGTTAGTCTAGATAAATTTTGGAAAAACTAAGTATGCAAAGTGGCATATTTAGTCAAGGTCCACACATCCAGAAAGTTTAATTGAAATCTGAGAGGGTGCTGCCAGGTCCGAATACGATTTGGCGCTAAATGCGTCAAAAGCGGTGCGATGCGAGGGGGCGACACATCTAAATCTCAATTTTAGATGCTCAAAAAATCTCACACTAGCGAAACAATCTTCGAAAAATCTTCTTGCATTTCTCGCATGTACTTGCATCGCGCATCACCTTTTTGCAGGAAATCTTCAGAATCGTCATCAATCTTCTTTCTATCTACTCAGCGTGCGATCAGCTAGTCACAGCACAACACAATCTTTCCTGCAGCGTAGATAGAGTCGTCCCCCTCGTTGCGATGCTAGTTTTCATAGCTATGACGACGACTGAATTAAAGGGCTTAAGGGCTGAACACAATGACAGCGGCACAGCGGCATAGCGGCATGCGCAAATTTCCAAAATATGGGAAAACGATTGACAACCCACAATGAGCACTCAGCGGCAAACGCGGCGTTGTACTAAAACGCACTTTTTCCAATATTTTGAAAAAAGCGCGGCACGGCATTGCGGAATCAAAACATTGAAATTTTCAACGTAAAGAAAATGGATCTCGTGGTAGACGTTTCCGAAGAAGAATTGTTAAACTGTTTTTTTTTATCGGGTCTTACCAAAACTCCCTAAAAAAGGATAGTCTTTGGTTGGCTGTCAGCAATGAGACAAAAATTTCAAGTAAGTTTTGATGCCATCATTCTGGTTAATTATATACAGTTTTCATGAGGGTTAATAAAAATGATTTCTATTGTCCGGCATATATTTTTTTCTAATTACAGTTGAAGAAGCTAAAAAAAAGTGGAAAAACCTAAGAGACCGCTATTTGAAGGAACTGCGGAGAGTGGAGCAGACGGTGACATCCGGTGCGGGTCGCTCGCAGGTTTATGTCCCAAAATGGTACTTGTACCACGAGCTGTCTTTTTTTATCAACCCACTGTAAACGGAGAAGGTAAATTGAATATGCTCGTATTTATATTTAAAAGCATTCTTAATGCATTCTTATTTACTATTCCAGCACCATCAGCAACTATCGAGCACAGCATCTTTCGAACGTTGAGGAAGGTTTCGAGCAACCCACAAACGATTCGAATGTCCAGGGCTTCGGCGAGGTAGAAGAACTAGGTGACATTGAGAACATCGACGATGCCACTACACCATTGACTACATCGGCAAACCGCAAAAGAAAGTCTGACGCAATGGATTCCAAATTGCACGAGATTTTGGACATAGTTGGAGACGTTGCTACGACAATTCAACAAGAGAACTCAAACCGCCATAAGGAATTTTGTAATTAAAGGGTGATACGGTCAAAATTTGGTCAATATCAACTTGACGTATTTCTTTCAATTTTGCATTTAAAAAACCTGAACACCCCTCATTTTGAAGGTGTGTGTGTGTAGAATGTTGCTCCTATTTTGATTTTGGAATTCACTCTTCAGTTGTCAAAATGCCGTCAAAGCAAGAAGAGCAGCGTATCAAAATTTTGCTCGCGCATCGCGAAAATCCGAGCTACTCGCACGCAAAGTTGGCAAAATCGCTAAAAGTTGCCAAATCATTCGTTACAAATGTAATTAAAGTGTTTGGGGAACGTTTGTCGACAGCCAGGAAGTCTGGATCGGGGAGAAATCGAAAACCGGAAGCCGCTGAGACGACAAAGAGAGTTGCCGGTAGTTTCAAGCGAAACCCTAACCTCTCTCTCCGAGATGCCGCAAATAAGCTGGGTATATCGTCTACAACCGTGCATCGAGCCAAAAAACGAGCCGGACTATCGACTTACAAGAAGGTAGTGACTCCAAATCGCGATGATAAACAAAATACGACGGCCAAAGCGCGATCCCGGAGGCTGTACACGACGATGCTGACGAAGTTTGACTGCGTGGTAATGGACGACGAAACCTACGTCAAAGCCGACTACAAGCAGCTTCCGGGACAGGAGTTTTATACGGCAAAAGGAAGGGGAAAGGTAGCAGATGTTTTCAAGCACATGAAACTGTCAAAGTTCGCAAAGAAATATCTGGTTTGGCAAGCCATCTGTACCTGTGGCTTGAAAAGCAGCATTTTCATAGCTTCCGGGACTGTCAACCAAGAAATTTACGTGAAAGAGTATTTGAATAAACGTCTGCTGCCTTTCCTGAAGAAACACGGTTGTTCCGTACTGTTTTGGCCGGATTTGGCATCTTGCCATTACGGTAAAAAGGCCATGGAGTGGCCAACGCCGCCAACAACGTGCAGGTGGTTCCCAAGGACAAGAACCCTCCCAACACGCCAGAGCTCCGCCCAATTGAGAAATACTGGGCTATTGTCAAGCGGAACCTAAAGAAGACCAACAAAACTGCTAAGGGCGAGCAGCAGTTCAAGGCAAACTGGCTTTCTGCGGCGAAGAAGGTGGACAAGGTGGCTGTACAAAATCTGATGGCAGGGGTCAAGCGTAAGGCCCGGCAATTCGGATTTGGAAAAGCGGAAGCCTAACTGAATATTTTTCCTGAATTTTATACTAATTGAACTTGAAAAAGAAATTTAATTTGATTTTTTAAATAAACGATTTCACCGATTTACACGCGTTTTCCCTTGACCAAATTTTGACCGTATCACCCTTTATCTTGGTCAACGTGTTGCCCATGAAAGTGGCCCGAGATTTGGAGGTGGAATTTGCAGCTAGAGTAAATGAGATGCTTGATATTCATACTGATGAATAAACGATAAACGAACAATTTGTATATCCTTCGAATAAAATGTTAACCAGATTAATCAGATTGAGCATGTCTTCAGATATGTAACATGGGAAAATTACAGTTTTGGGCCGATTTCATAACCTATTTATGCGTACACTGGATATTCTAGGTCCTCCAAATCATCCTTAATTCAAGCCAGATGATCAACCAGATCAACCTTGGCTGATATGTATGGCAATCAATCAGGCTCAAGTGGGTTCACAGAATCTATTTGCATCGTTTACGACCGTACTATATTCATAGCAGTTGGGCATGCCCAATCAGGTTCATGGAATCTATTTGTACCAGCCATGGTTGATCTAATTGATCATCTGGCATTAACACCAGGATGATTTGGAGGACCTAGAATTTTATCTCTTATATACTTTAAAGTTTTTCGACTTTTCCTGAGGTTTGTTTGCTTGTTTTCTTAGAAGTTGTCAGAATTTGCCTGAAGTTTATTAATATTTTCTAATGATCTAAGAATTTTTTGAAAGTTACTGATCTTTTGAAATAATCTAAGAATTTATCAGAATTTTGCTAATATTCTAAGAAGTTTTAAGAATTTTTTTTTGTGATAAAGTCCGGATTTTTTTTATATTTTTTTTATATTCTCTGAAGCTCTCTGAATTTTCCTTAAGTTCGCTGCTTTTCTATGAAGTCCTTAGAATTTTACTAAAGTTCGCTGATCTTTTCTGATGGTCTTAAGCTCGCTTATCTTCTCAAAAGTTCCCACAATTTACCTCAAGCATCGTGGTCTTGTGGTAGGTTGCTGAATTTCTCTGAAATTTTCAGAATTTTCCTGCAGTACGGTTAGCTTCTCTGAAAATCTCATATGTTTTCTGAAGTTTGCTGGTCGTATCTGAAATTTTCAGGATTTTCATCAAGTTTGGTGATCTCCCCTGAAGATAGGCGATTTTTTTATGAATTTAGCAGATTTTCTCTGAAGTTTTATAAATGTTCTGAAGTTATTTGATCCTCTCTGAATATTGATGAATTTTTCTGAAGTTTGCAGTTTTTTTTTTATTGAAGTTCTCTGAATTATCATGAAGTATGCCGAGCATCTCAGAAGTAAGCTGGATTTAAAAAAGGTTTGTGATATTCTTTCTAAAGTTTTCTGATCTCTGAAGTCCTAAAAGTTCACCTGAAGCTTGCGGATATTTTCTGAAATTCTCAGAATTTAACTGAAATTCAATGTTCTTTCGAATAATTTCAGAATTTAACTGATATATGATATTCTCTGAAAAGCTCTCCAAATTTCCTCAAAGTATTCTTTTCGCCTTTGAAGTACTGAGAATTTCCTGTGAAATTGATGTTCTTTCCTGAAATTATAAGATTGATTGTGAACCTATATTAGAAGAAAAAAGTCATGTTATATTTGAAAATTTAATAGTTTCGCTGCTATTTTGATAAATTGTAATAAAGTTCATTAAATTTTTAATATTTAGTTTCCCTTTAACAGAAACCACATTGCTATATGTTATTGGAGTTTTGTTTTTATTGCATTAGCAGAATATCAAATTGAATACTCGTTTTGTCACTATATTTAATCAAGTTTTCAATTTGATCTCACTGAGGGCAGGAATTGTTTTCCATTCGATATCATAGGAAGAATTTTATGCTGTAGATTTTGATATTTTAACCGTTAAAACTACCGAAATGATAGCAATCTAAGTAATCATTATTAGCAGCATTACAACATCAAATTTAGTTTTCAAATTGATCTCAGACTTTGCTCAGAAGACTTATTATACGACACATCATATAACAACTATATGTTTCTGTTCTAGTGAAAAATGGACTCAGGGTTTCCGGAACCTGATTCGTATCTACCAGTTAGTTTATGAAACAGATCCTAGAACATAGATTTTCTCCTTAAATACGTATGGGTGTTTTGTATAAATAATATTTCGGTTGTGTATTGTCGGTTGTGAAACTTGACAAATAAGATTGGCACTCATAAATATTCAGAATGGTTTTATTGTCCTCTTGCTGTTTTACAAAATAATTTTGTTTAACATAACTGATCAATCAATGTGCTCGTAACGAGAATTCTCCAATACATACTGCGCTAAAATATTGCGGACTTCAAATGCAGTCCGAGGAGCATTATGTCCTCGACTAATTGAATCAGCGGAAACACTTAGTAGAGGATCAACATATAAGCGCCATTCTCCATCAACCACATTTCCTACATTGTCGATTGTATTTATCCGTGAATCCTGGCGGAGCGTACTGATGGTTACTGTGATTTTTCAAAAAAATATGCAACTCCACTACAGCCTTAACAATGTTTTCTGCCGACTCTGGTGACATGAACAACGGTGACTTCAAAATCCTCCACTGTGCGACAGTGATCCCGAAAGTGTTTTTAACTGTGTGGCGAGCAATAGAAAGCCTTTTATTGAAATTTTCTTGAATTTGTGGTAGATTCCTCCCTGGGAAGGCCAAAGTGCGGCCCGTTGTCCGCACGTGGTGCTTGGATCTCTATGATGCAATATCCTCAGCTTGATTTTCTTTTTGCACTTCGAATGTATGACCGAATTGATTATTAAATACGCAAAACTCAACTTTAAATATGATCATCGAACAAAGATACATCTATTGAAAAAATAGGCATGAGCACCACAGACTTACATCAACGTTAAAAACAGTCAACACTCCGGGTTTATTGGTTTCCTAATCGAATGCTTTTCCAAGTGCGCTTTCAGAATCAGCAGAAGTTTCTCGAACGTTTCTGAATTCATCCGAACTGACCTGACGAAGTACTCGGGGTCCTTTTCCTTCATCAGGGTAAAAGCTGTTTCATAGAATCCTTTCAAAAAACCATAGTTTAGCGGAAAGAAATAAATTATGATGCAAATTACCTTCACTTTCCCGCACTTGATTGCACGGTCTCACCCACCACCGACGATGTTGCGAGGAAATATCCTGCAGATACCTCAGTTCCCGCACAGCCTGCACAATTTTCACAATATTTGCAATGCGTTCCATTTTTAACATGAACACAGGACACTGGAAACACAGGAAAATTCGGTTTAGTACAATGCGCGTTTAGTACAATGCGCGTTTGCCGCTGTGCCGCTTTGCCGCAATGCCGCTGTGTCATTGTGTTCAGCCCTTTAGGAGCAGAGGGGTGAAAGTCAATTCTCTTAATCGATTTCCTCTTTTGATGACCATGGCTTCACTAGCCTATTATTAAGATCGGAGGCGAATGCATCTTAAACTTGTTTCGTCTACTAACGATTCTCTGATGACTGTATTGGGGAAGCAGCAATGCTACATCGACATGTTCCGTCTAGAAACGATTCTCTGATGACTGTGTTGGGAAGCAGCATATGCATGTACGTAATTGGTGGATTTGTTAGTTATTTCGACGCTTTTGGACAATGCTTGACATTTACCAATTTT